ACAACAAAAAACAAACAAACTACCCAATAGAAATTCATATAATATCAATAAAGTGTTTGTGTATTCACTTAAATCACGTCATTCCTTTTCTTTATCTTAATCGAACACCAACTTGCAGGAGTCCCTATAAATGAATTATTATTGATAATGGTCCAACACCAACTTGCAGGAGCCCCTATAAATTAATAAATCATTATTGATTTTGGTCCAACACCAACTTGCAGGAGCCCCTATAAATAAATCATTATTGATTATGGTCCAACACCAACTTGCAGGAGCCCCTATAAATAAATCATTATTGATTATGGTCCAACACCAACTATTCTTGTTATTGCGTTAGCTAAGTAACGCTCTGAGACCCTGCACCTTTTTGTAGAAGCGAGTGAGTGAGTGTTAGGGATGCTAGGAATGACGGGCAATAAGCGGACAAAGTGTCACAAAGCGACCCTTCATGTCGTGCACAAGGTACAAAGGACAAAGGTTTATCAAGGGCTGTGGTGGCTTTGGCAGTGCTCACACACACACCACCTCACTACTCACTCCAGAGCTAGGCTGCTTGCCCCATCGAGATTTCGGCGGCTGGGAAAGTTTAGGGAGTGAGTGAGAAACAGAGGATGAGAACCAACACAAATTATTATGGTGGGAACAGAGAGAGTAACAAAATAAATGAGAGATACAGCAATATTAATAATATTAATAATAATAGGCAAATAATAATAATAATAATAATAATAATAGCCTAATAAAATAATAAACAATAATTATGAATAGCATTTGTATAGTGCATAGCTCCGCTCAACAGCAAGCTCTCTATGCACTTTACACTATATTGCAGTATAATATATAACGCAGCTCTTCTGTTTAAAACGTATGCAAAAAAGTTATGGGTTTTGTTATTTTATGCAGTCGAACCTGTCCTCTTGGACAGACTGATAACAATAATATTTATTTAAAAACGCAAGGTGGGTAAGTGGGAAGTGGGAAGTAGTCATTTGTAGGCTATAGATCATACTAGCTGGGCCCCCTTTCGATGAAAGGAATGATCAGTGCATTAACATAAACCGAAAGTCATTGGCCTACTATATTCACACTCTACTGGAATGGTGCAATATAAGAACTGCAAAAAATTAGAAGGTCTAGATCTCAAAACAAAATGCGCCTAGCAAAATATCACTTCCGCTCCGGATTTTCTAAAATTACAGAGATAGAAGCATCGGCCTACAAAAGCGATCGGCGAAATAAAGAAATTTAGCTTTTTGCAGCAAAATTGTCTCAAAACTGAAAAAACTAAGGGCGTCATGATCTGGAGAATATTTTAAAGAATCTTTTGGCGAAAACCGCATGTCGATCGATGCAGCCATTAAAATTAAGCCTTTTGAATAGCAAAATTCGGCCACCACAAATAGATAATATTATTAATAGATTATTTAGTCTTGGACTGGTGATCGTATGAGCAGGTTTGACTATCGGTTTACAGGGGACATTTTCCAAGACAGCCACCTATTGTTGAGTCGAAAAAAAGGTCATCTTAGACAGACAGTCCTCTTGGACAGTGTCATTATAGTATTTAAAAAAAAAACCCACAGGGTAAGAAATGGAAAGCAGTCGTTGTAGGCTACAACGGGCAGGTGATTGCTAGAGCAGGTTCGACTGTATAGCCCCCCCCCCTATATAATATTAATAGATGGATAACAATTTTTTAAAAATGATTGTCTAGATTGGTAAACCTCGCCACGACTTGGCAAATTATGCTTCACTTATGTCATTACCAGTGAGGTGCTAAACTGTCCAAAAGTGTAGGCCTAACTTAAAGACAATAAATAAAACTGAAAGAGATTTTTAAAAAACAACTAGCTAATGTAAGCATCTGCGCTAAACGAAAAAAGCAAAATCTTGAACATGATGATGTCTCTTTAGCTACTTACGTCGTTTTATGAGCTTTAAAGTTTCTCTTGCCAGAAATTTGTTTCTTGAAGTTTTCTCAATATTCACTACAAACATACCACTGGGTTTTCCTCTCTCAAACATAGACAGAGGACAGAAATTAAAAGGACAATATCACAATTATAAATTCTTTCTCCTAAGTGAAAATAAACCTTCTAAAAATAAAAATAGTCTATAAATAATAAATAAACACTGACACATGTTGTCTTTTCAATCGGGCATCCCATGCTTTGATGGCCAGTACAATAGAGACACAGAATATTTCTCTCATATCGCTATGGATCATAGTAAAACACGCAAAGCGTCTTTGTCATGCACACTGCTGGCTCCAGTGACTAAAAAGTGCCTCAATACAAACTAAAGGCTAAAGATTTCAGCATGGGAGGTAACATTTACTGACAGTGAACATGTACACTATAGATTTCTGACTTTCTATTCTATCATCTAACGTTTATGGGTGTCGCTGTCTGTTTTACTTGTTACTCTCTTCCATCTTCTCTCTCTCTTGTTCTCTTTCTCTCTGTCTCTGTAACTCTGTATCTTTCTCTGTCTGTCTGTCTGTCTGTCTGTCTGTCTGTCTGTCTGTCTGTCTGTCTGTCTGTCTGTCTGTCTGTCTGTCTGTCTGTCTGTCTGTCTGTCTGTCTGTCTGTCTGTCTGTCTGTCTCTCTCTCTCTTTCTCTCTCTCTCTCTCTCTCTCTCTCTCTCGATCTCCCTCCCTCCCTCTCTCTCTCTCTCTTTCCCTCCCTCTCTCTCTCTCTCTCTCTCTCTCTCTCTCTCTCTCTCTCTCTCTCTCTCTCCAAATGCACACAAACCTACACACAAACACATCAATCAACTTATGTGATATTTTTTTTACAATTGCAAAGAAAAATACTTCTCAACAAAGTAAAGCTACCTTAATATTTTTCAGAAAAAGGAAGAAATATAATTTGCTTCATAATCAGAGTCATAAATTCGGGCACACATGCAAAGTAAAAAATACTCACAGAGACAGATTCTGTACCGACATGTGGCTGTGTGCGGTAGATCCCAATCGGTATCTCACATGCTTGTGAGCATAGCTTCTGGTACAGACGGCCGTAGGTTCGAATCCACAGGTCGTCTTTGCCAACTTTTACCTGTGTCAGAAAGCAAAACCAACACCATTAAGGAGAAATAAAAAGTAAATGATTATGGTAGGCCTACAATGACAGAGGTGATTCCACTTGTCATCGAAAGAAATGTAGTTATTTTGCCTCTGTCAAGAATTTCATCCTAGTATAATATGCTTAATTTAAAATTCACTTAATGTTAATCAAAACGAAGAAATTGGAATGTGTTTAGGATAAAGCTAATGTTTGTATCTTTAAAACAAATTCTAGTTAATTATCATTTTACTAACAATAAAATACAATTCTAGTTCTACCTACACAGGAATCAAACCCTGATCGTCCATCATGTATAGCAGCAAAGAGCCTAACAACTGTGTGGTGTGCTGACAAAGCGAGTTGGCTAATCATCGCAATCCACAATAGGAGATATTGGCCAAAAATCAACTAGATTTTCCATAGATGACATATTCTTTTAAGTATAACATGCCTTTTATTATTTCATACACTTATAAACTGTAAAAACTTCACCTATAAGCGTGGTGTATTTCTAAAAGGCTTGAATTCGAGAAGCAACTCATTTTGTAAGCACACTTCACACTTACACATACGACAGCAGTAGAATTACTTACTTACTTGAATTACTTGAATTCAATTACCATTGTAACGTCATGAAAATGTCAAAACTGACTCAAAACATGCCACAGTGACAACCGTGACCTGAATACTTACACATCCTAAGTGACCGGACCCCACAGCCATGTCGATACCCAGCAGAAGCCTCACAAAGGTTATAAGGTAGTCTTTGACAAATGCCTGAAAACATTCAAATTCTGTCTTGTCAAACATCCAAGTTCCTATTGTAATCAAACATTCAACTTCCCTATATTCGTAATCAAATATTCATGTTCCATGTATTTAATATTCAATTTGATCGCTTTTAAGGACAAGCGGGCTAACCCAGATTTCAGGGATTTTCAGAAATCTTGAAATACATCAAAAGATGGCGTTGCCCTACCTATAGAAGAAGTTTGGTTTCATTGGTGAGTATATTTTTTTAGTTATAGAGAAAACTCTCCTTGTCTTTCATAGAAACTGAACAAGGGGCAAAAAACTTTACCTCTGATTTTCTCAAAACAACATTTTTCGGGATAGCCCCCTTAAAAGCAATCAATTCTATTTTTTCAAACTTCCAAGCTCCTTGTAATTGAACATTCAACTTACCTTTCATCAAACATTCATGTTCCAGTTCCATTTATTTAACGTTCAAATTCTAATAATCGAGCTATTTCATTGAGCAGACAACCCACGACAAACACTAAGGAAGTGATGTGTTCACAACTGTTACAAAAAAGAAATAGAAACCCAATAGAATAGAATAACACCAAGTAAAGAAGTCGTTTCTGTTTTTAAATTGATAAGATGAATATTTGGAGTGATTTTCTTTTAGTCAGAACACAACGTTTTATGTTACTGTTGTACGTTATACTGTATTGTAAAGTGCTCAGAGCCTGTGTACTTTAATCAGGGTTGAGTGCTATATAAATCTCATTTATTATTATTATTAGAGAGACTCATCTTTGATTACCTGGTAGAGCAGAGCATCAAGCATGCTGGCACTGAACACATTGCCCGCAGCAAAAGGCAGACGGAACATGTAGTAGATGTTGGAGCCTCGTTCCCGCTCTTTCTGTTGACGAAATAATAGTTTACACACATAATTATAAGTTTGCATCATGCCACATGTATTTTCAAAGCACAAACAATTAAGGCTTAATAAATCAAAACATTTGTGTTGCGACACAGTGGAATCAATCGCTCGTCAGTTTTTGGACATGTGGAATTATTGGTATCATCTGAAAGCTTATTCATTTGCTTTGCTGTCAATGAAAAAAGTACCCATCTACCTTGAACAAAAAGTCAAAATGCTTGTTGATTGAAGTAGGTGGGGTCGCTTGGTTTCAGTGGTAAAATTATCAAGGAAATAGCTGCTAAAGTTCGGTAACTTAAATACCTTGAGAGTCCTTGAAAACTGGAAATGTACATATTTTGCGGCTTTAATTAACATTTTTCAGTAAAATTTACATGGAAATAAGTTTTTATATTGACATACAAGGTGTTGGTTCAAAAAACAAAAATATGATGAAAATTGACAAACTGGCAGAAAAATGCCTGTTTCCTTAATTTCATTATTTTGACTAGCACCTGTTTTCATCCCGATGCCTCTCTTTTCTCTTTTCAAAATACTCTAAAGTTGTTGTTTGTCTTAGTAAAGAGAAGCACATCTACAAAATAAAGGTAATTCAGCGAAGGAAAAAGTCAGAAAAAGAAACTGAAACAGTTAGACAGAAACAAGAAAGTATTGTTTGCACATTCATGTAGCTTTTTGTCAAAGAGAGTAGGCGTCTGTCATACATGCAGAGCAATTTTACTTAAGATATTGACAAGAAACAAGCAGCAAACCGATATAGACGTTTTAGTTCTAATCAGAGTTTTATGGCACTTGCAACAGAAATAGGTCATATAAATGCAGAAGATTAGAGTTGTGGAGAGTAACTGACATAGAAAAGGAGAACGAGAGATATGGACAATAAATGTTTGATAGAAAAGAAGCAATTCCACACCAGAGCTCCCATCAATCACTAACATATCGACATCTTACAACCTGACAAAGATAACACAAGAAAGTACACTGAGGAAGTTGAGAACAGACATGGGACAACACCTGGATACCTGGAAGTGTCATCTCTGACTCAGAGTTTGCCGTGTAATGACCCTCCATTATTCACGGTCGCAAGCTGCCGTTGCACATTCTGCTATATCCAGGCCAGTCCATGTTTTTATATTGTCTATCCATGTTACTCTTTGCCTTCCCCTGGCTCTTCTTCCCTACATCCTTCCTTCAAGCACCTCTTTTACAATGGTCTCATGTCATTTTAAGTGGCCTTTGTATTGTATTTTCCAACAACAACAACACAACAAAGAATAAAACATAGAGAAAAATTTACCTTTTCTTGTTTAGAAATTGATAAGGCGTACAAGTCATCAGGCCTGAACTGCATAAATCTCATATTGGGGGCAGCAGAGATTTCCGTGATGATATTTGCTTTTGGAAACAACCTAGAGAAGGAAAAAATAAATTATGATAAAGCAAGATGCAGCTGAGACATTACAAACAAAATTCTAATATTGATTTCTGAGACCCAAGTAAAAAGTAAAGTTGTTCCCGCATCCGATCCGGACACTGGGGATTGCCTTGTTAGTGAGACAACTTCCTGGGTTTTTGACATATTGTGGTAGGTGGCCAGTTCCTTTCCACCCCGCCTTTACTTCCCCTACTCAAAGTGAGGTACCCATTACTTCTAGATTCTGGGTGGGTAGGAGGGGGTGAAAAAAATACTTGTCCAAACCGAGGCTTGAACCCGGACTTTCCGCTTCAGAGACAAGTGCACTAACTATTTTGCCACCGCACCGAGACCCAAGTACAAACATGATAATGTCTATTAAAGACTTGAAATTGTTAATATCAAACATCAAAGCAAGCAAAAGTATGTGCATGGACGCTCTAAATACAAACAGAATAAAACCCACGAAAGCTCAAAACGCTGCTTCAGGTATGGTCCTTGAAGATCAATAACTAGCCAGCTTTATAATATACAAGAATGAAGAGGCTCCCACCTATAACAAAGAATTGGCTCCAGGTGCCTCACAATAAGATACACTTTCCACAGTAAACACAACGACACTTTACACACATAGCGACCCGTCCATTATACAAAAGTCCTTTCAAATACATCACCCTCAGTCCGACAAAAGGACACATACACAAAACAAAAATCAATGTGGCTGCTGACCACACTTCGATTTTGGAAGAAGAATCAAACTAGCTGGTAAAATAAGCCCTAATGACAATAATAAATGACATTTATATAGCGCTCAACCCCGAATAAAGTACTTAGGCTCTGAGCGCCTTGCAATACAGTACAATGTACAAGAGTAAGATAAATTAAGATAAATGTGTCCTTCTACATCCCTACATAAATTATGTGTCTTTATACATGCCTACATAAATTATGTGTCTTTTCGTCGTCACCTGAATATTGTCTGAACTGACACAATGGTGTTACAGTCGGCCAGAGTGTCCTCGTCTTTAGCGTTGGACGTCTCTTTGTTCACAACCACCACGTTGTCCGTTATGTGGATCCCCGCCTTCAACAGGTCTTCGATGCTAAAATAAGGAAAAGGTAAAAAAATATCATATTACCAGTATATTTTATAGAATATTATTCAGTCAATTTACACAAAATATTTAAAATAATATAGTCGAATCTGTTCTAATGGCGACCTGTCCAAGACAAAAACTTGCACAAATGCTTTAAAAAAAACAACAAAAAACTTGCACAAATGGCTACTTCCCACTGAATTTTTGGGACCCTGTGGATACATCTTGTGTCACAACTATTAAAATTTGTATACAAAGTGCAATAGAACACATACATGTTGGACAAAATCCGGATACTTTTAGAAATCCAAATTTCCGCAATTTATACTGAAAAATCCGCAACTCTGTCTTTGAAGGAAGCAGTTAAATTACATAATATAATTGATATCAACAAATCAATAGACTTTACCTACAGAGCACACAACTGGCATAGAACAAAAAAGAAAAAGCAACCCCCAGCCTCCAAACATAAAACCTCTCACCAGTCAATAGAACCTCTCATCCAGAAGACTAGAGGGAAATAACTGATCAAGGCCAAGAAACCACTGTCAGGCCTGAAAAAAAGCCAAAAACATTTTAAAAACACATCATTATAGACTGTCCCCCGTGGTTTATGCACCCCGCATAATTTAGCAAAATTTGATCATTTTTTGCATAATTTGTTATTATTTTCCTTTATCATTTTTTGTTAAAAGTCATAGAATCGCATAATTTCACATTTTTCGGCTCAGTTTGCATAATTTCATAATTTTTCTTGCATAAAACGATGGGGACAGTATAGAGCAACAGATTTTTAGACACCACGTGAAAAGAAAAGTATATGTGAGGCAGTGTGTTGAAATCAGGCGCTCGTCAAAATAATCAAAGTGAAGAAACTGGCATTTTTGTGAGTTTTGATTAAATTTTCGTTTTTTGGGCTCATCACCTTGCATGCCCATTAAAGAACACATTTGTGTGTGGATTTTACCGAAAAACTTTGATTAAAAGCACAAACAGTGTCATTCTTCAGTTTTCGAGGACTCTTTAGCTATTGGAGTTAACAAATTTTGGCAGCCTTTTTCTCGCTAATTTCACCACTGAAACCAGGAGGCTTCACCTCTTTCAATCGCAAATATCTTGACTTCTTCTTAAGACAGATGGGTATTCTTTTAAATTGAAAGCAAGGCAAATGAATAAAAGCTTTCAGATGGTACCAATAACTCCACATGCCGAAAAATTGACAAGCACCTGGTTCCACCGTATCATGACACATATATAAAGGAAAATTTATTTCACATGAATCAGTTTTTGAAAATTTTACTGTGTCAATCGAACAGAAAAGTATATTGTGAAAGCAATCTTCCTGAGAAACTGAAATCCGTGGTTGAGTAGAGTAATATAAAGGTAACATCTTACATTTGTTTGAATGACACAGTTATTGTTCATTGATGAATGTGTGCTTGAGTTTATGTATTGCACTAGACCTCTGTGCTCACAGGTGTAGGCACAATAAAAATAATCTACATCATCAATATCATCATCATGATCATTATTATTATTATTATTATTATTATTATTATTATTATTATTACTCTTAATATTATTACTATTATTATTACCATTATTATCATTAGTCTATCATTAAAATTATTATTATTAATAGTAGTAGTAGTAATATTAGTATTAGAAGTATTGTTATTTTTAGTATTAGTATTATTGCTACTATTACTATATCCGTATTAAATAATAAAAATAATAATTATTATTATCATTATTATTATTTTTATTATTATTTTTACTAAATTATCATTATTATTACTAATATTATTGTTAATATCATCATTATCATTATTATCATCATTATCATTTTATTATCCATGTTATTATTATTATTATTATTATTATTATAATTATTATTATTATTAGGGCCTATTATAATAATTTTAAAAAAAAATTATTATTATCATAATCAATTTCTAAAAATGCCATGAGCCATAAGACATGACAAGTAAATCTGGGACTCACGGTTTGGTTAAGAGAAGAACGATGGGACTGAGGGACTTCTTGGGGCGAACGTGAGATCTTAAAGGCACAATGAAGTTGTAGAGACCCGAGCTGGCGTAGTCGGCGGCAACGATAATGGCGGGGTTGGACCAGTTGTACTCCCGGGCGTTGCGGTGGGGGCAGTGGGAGCACTCCTGGGGGTTATAGAACAATGTAGCATGGCGTGATTCAATGACAGTCTCTTATATATAGCACAGCATAGCACTCCTGGGGATTATAGTACAATATAACACTGCAATAGCACATCGTAACACGCTTAATTAAATAGCACAATTTAGCTTTGTATGCTTCAATGCTAGTCTCCTATAAAACACAATATAACACACCTGGGGATTAGAGCACATCATATCATGGCATGACTCAATATATAGCACACTTCATTGCATAGCACAATATAACATGGCATGATTCATGGGAGGAGTCTTACATAAGCTATATAGCACAATATAGCACTCTTCATTGCATAGCACAACGTAACTCTCTCTCTCTCTCTCTCTCTCTCTCTCTCTCTCTCTCTCTCTCTCTCTCTCTCTTTCTCTCTTTATTCATCTCTCACCCTCTCTCTCTCACACACACATACACACACCCTCTCTCTCTCTCTCTCTCTCTCTCTCTCTCTCTCTCTCTCTCTCTCCCCCCCACTCCCAACTGCTTTTGAGGAATATTCACCAATAGAAATACAAACCCGTTCATTTATTTGAACAATTTACTACATTCTCATTTCTATGATCTTCGTTCCAAGTTCTATCAAGATAAAAAACCACACACACACACAAACACACACTCACAAACACACAAACACACACACACACACGAACACATGCACACACACACACACACACACACAAACACATACACACACACACACAACCCTTCTTCCAAATGGCCCACTATCTGCCCAGTCAAACGCTAAACTTCACAGAAAGCAGAATTTTAAAAAATCTTACTGTAGAAAGCTGAAGGCAACACATGGGTCTCTTCTCTCTCATCAGATGACATAGAGTCGGGCTCGTGCCGACATACGGAGTCACAGGAGGGAAGCCACGGACATATCTGGCACGACCACAAAGAAAAACCATTTTGTGAAAGAGGAAATTGACGTTGAAATATGAAAATTTCAATCATTTCAATTAATTGAACATCTGTATTAGAAGGACGTGTCCATTAGTAGAACATGAATGAATATCACATAAAACTGTTCACGTCGTTTTAAGCTAGAAAAATTCTGAAATTATGCAAAACGAGCCCAAAAATGGGAAATTATGCGATTCTATAAATTTTAACAAGGAATGATAAAGAAAAATAATCAGAAATTATTTTTTAAATGATCAAATTTTTTCTAAATTATGCGGGGTGCATAAAACCACCAGGACAGATAAAAGACCACAGATCACTATGTGTCACTAAATTAATATATCAAATTAGTCAGCACAAATATTTCACTACACTGTCGTTTCGAAAGTTTAGGTACAGTCAAACACCATCCGCCACTGGAATCAGTTGTTTGTACTGTACAAGTGATTGTTGATTGTCTTGGAAAATTGGTCATCAAAGCAGTTTTGACTGTATTCCTTTCTCATCACAAATTAGATACCGGGGACAGCAATGAAGATAAAATTAAAAAAATTTTCAAAACTAAATCAATTGGGAGTAAATGATCATGGAAGGAGGAAAAGGAGAAGGGGAAAAGGTATAAAGAAGTGAAGAAAAAAAACTAGAGGAGAAAGGAGTTGGAGGATCATTACCATTCTCCTCTGACTAAAATAATTAAGACTTTTTGTGGCTACAGTTTTGGTGCACTCCTAATTGGCCGGATACAAGAGGAACATCAAAATGAATTTGGTAAGATGTCTTTTCAGTAATTTTTTGTCATGCTCTCTGTTTGCTATATAATGATCTGACAAAAAACACACTTCCTTCTCCTACTCCTCTTATTTTATATTTTGTTGTCCCCGTGATTTTATGCACCCGGCATAATTTAGCAAAGTTTGATAATTTTGTGCATAATTTCTGATTATTTTCCATTATCATTCTTTGTTAAAATTAACAGAATCGCATAATTTCACATGTTTGGGCTCAGTTTGCATAATTTCCGAATTTTTCTTGCATAAAACGACGGGGACAGATTTTTCTTCTAGTTGCTTACTCAACAAAATCATCAGGCTCCATATCACAGGGTTCCTCTTCCTCGTCCTCCGTGTCGGAGCCGGTGATGTTGATGTGGATGTTGTTTGCCTCCAGAGTGGCAGGCACAGGCGCTATACTCGGCCTCTTTTGTAAACTCTGGATGTTAAGACCCTGGAAATGGAGGGTAACTCAAACAAATGAGCTGAGTTGTGTTACTGAGACAGTAAAAGAAATATAAATAATGAGTAAATCGAGTACAGTTATGCTTCTGAAATTCTGTGAAACAAACAAAAAAATTGGGAATTAAAGGTCTATATGTTTGTGTAAATACACTCGACACATTCACACATTCTAGATTTTACATTCAAATTCCGTTATGGAGGCAAAGTATGTCACTACAATCACTCGTGGCAAATAATCTGCTTTCTATGAGAACAAATTAGGTGGAAGTAAAACAAGAATAAATAGTTTACTAGCATGAACAGAGTGGGAGATGGGAAAAAAACAGGTTATTTAGAGCTTCAGAAGAGAGAAAATAGTGACAATCTAATATTGCTGATGTCCGTTTCAGATCGAGCCCTTAGAGACTTACAAAAAAAAAGGCTTTTTCAACTTAAACATCCCAAACAGTGAAATAATCACTACCTTTGGCAGGCTGAGATTCCTAGACCTGCTTCCCGTTCTTGTAATGAGGTTCGTGTCGGAGCTGAAGGTAGACACTCGTGTGTGCTGAAGCTCCAAAGCCACAGTGCCTGAATATAACATGACATACAAAAACACATAAGTAACGGAACATAGCACTCACGCAAGGACACATCACATTAGTGATAGAGCATAGCACATTCACTAAGACCCATTAAGAGCCTGAACATAGCACACACAATGACACACACGTAGCACAAACAAAGACGTATTAATGCCTGAACCCAGCACACAAAAAAGACAAAGAGAACACACAAAGACACGTTAAGAGACCAAACAAAGCATTCACAAAGACACAGTAAATCTGTCCCCATCGTTTTATGCAAGAAAAATTCTCATATTATGCAAACTGAGCCCAAAAACGTGAAATTATGCGATTCTGTTAATTTTAATAAAGAATGATTAAGAAAAATCAGTAAATATTATTTTTAAAATGATCAAATTTTGCTAAATTATGTGTGGTGCATAAAACCACGGGGACAGGTAAATGGACAATAAAAGGGTAGCATTATACATAATATCATATATACATTATATGTAACGAACGCTTCTTAGGATGCTGGAAATGTTTCAGAATGCTGCAGCATCTGTCATGTCAGAGTAGTTATAACTTGTTTAAAACATTCTTGTAGTAAAATTACATTACACAAACCGAATCTATTATTACGATCATTATTAAGAAAAGCTTACTCAAATATTCATAAGTTTCTATTGTTGTAAAAAACAAATTTTTGTCCCTGTCTCTGTTAGCCAGATTTTTCAACATTTTTCAGCCAAACTTACCCACACTAGCAATCATACTGGCAACTCGTGAAGCCTTCTCTGTACCCTGTGGTAACCTTGCCCTCTCCACCGCAGACGGATCTCGGTTCGGATGAGCCAGGATGAAGGCCGAGTTTTCTTCCTTCGTTATATTCATATAAAAACAAATGTCTGCTTTCCTCATGATGTGCCGTGGGCCGGGATTCAGCTGTATCGTGCTGCCAGGCAAATCTCGCTGTACCCCTACCAAACTCACTCCATACCTAGGATGAGATGAATTACAATATTTTTATATAGGCCCTACATTCCAATTTTTTAAAAAGTGATCCCACACGCACAGAGCCCAAATAATTAATTTGCTTTATATATATGCAATAGGCAACGTGAAACATGGAGGAGATGTGTGGAAAGGGACATGAGAGAGATGAAGCTCACTTGGAACGAGCTAGGAAGGATGGCCCAGAACAGAGATAAATGGAAGGAGCTTATATGTGGCCTATACCCTGCCAGGGGTGAAAGGCACTGATGATATATGTGCAAGCCCAAATGATTAATTATATATATATATATATATATAATATATCACAACAAGCCTTCATCACCGAAATGAAATATCAAGAAGAGAAAAATAAAACTAGAATCGCACTTTTCACTTTTACCATCTAGAAACTTACAAACAATAGGCAAAAGGGCATTTGTATATCTTGGCTCGGATGTACAGAATACTTCGCCAAGTAGTTTAACAGAGATCAAATCTTTTGATTTATTCAAGTGTCAGTTAAAAGCATTTCTGATTTTAGAATATTAAGATAAAATATGTAGGCCTATAGAGTTTTAGTCAGAACACAATGTACTGTTAATGTGATGCTACGTGTATTGTATTTATAAAACGCTTGTGTTCTTTAAGTGGGGTCGAGTGCTATTTCAATGTCATATACATGTGCCAACAAAATGAGTTACTTCTCGCAATCCAAAAGTGAAAATTTTGGCCAAAAATAGACACTTGGGTCAAATTTGTAGATTTTCTATTGATGTCATATTCTTTAAGTATAACAGGCCTTTTATTATTTTTTGTATACTTATAAATTGTAAAACTGAAAATTTACATATTTTGTGCCATTAATCAACGTTTTACAGTAAAGTTTACATGGAAGTGTATTTTTATACATGGACATAAAAAGTGCTGAGCCAAAAAAACAAACATTCGACAAAACTGGCGGAGCCTGTTTCTACAATTTCATTAATTTGACGAGCGCCTTATTTCACCACAATGCCTCACATATGGTAACAACACACTACTTAAAACCCCCCGGGGCGGTGCCACTGACTGAAGTGTCTTTAGGCCATTCTCAAAGGGGGACATTTCTCGTTCTAATGCACAGCAGAATCGTAAATGGGCTGATTCATCAATGTCATGCTCAAAACTATGCCTGAGCTACAACAGGGTACTGCTGCTTTTTTTCCCCTAATCCTTACGATTATAATTTTCTTCTACTTCTTTTGTATGTTCGTCACACTCTTGAGACCCGCTATTTCCGGGGTGCCTTGATAGTTGAAGCAGACTTTGTGCTGTTGAAGCTAGAGAGGTGAGCAGAGTAAGCCTGATTCCCTGTAAAGACTTCTCTGCTGACATACGCCCCTTGGTGCTCATATGACCTTATGCAGTTGCGAGTGCCGTAAAAAGTCTACTAAAACACCACCCCCCCCCTAAATCCCCAACACATTGCTTACTTTCGATGAGCGTGGAAAGAAGCGTATGTGAAGCTCTTCCCTTCATAGTCACCAAAGAAATTGCTGTCACCAAGCCGGATGTGGTAGATCTCATTTCCCGAACATTTTCCGTACAGCCGCTGCCACTCCTCCGATGAAGTTTGACCTTCTCTGAAAGGAAAAAAAAAAGAAAATATACTGTTAAAGTAAACTTTAGCCCTCCATTTGGAGCTTACTTGATTATTAGGGGGCTGGCTCCACTTTGTCGTGAGGCCACATTAATATAGCCCATGTGTGAGGATTTAACTGAGCTAAAGAGACTTTTTGAACTTGTTTTGAGAGTGGGGGGGGGGGGGGGGGGGTTCCTTTTTATCAAACAAACCAAAGACGGAATATGTATGTATCCTTCACTTTTGCTCAAAGTAAGCGTTCAGCTATGGGTATGTTTAATAAAGTATTGTGTGAATAGATTGAACAAAAGCATTTGAAATATTGGGGTTGTATGAGGTCAGTAGATATAAATTCAGCTTTAAATGTTTACCACCAGCATAGACAATTAATTATGTATACATAAACATACGTGTAGTACCATATATATATAGGCCTATATATATATTATATTAAAGAAAATTATCCACCATACAGACCAAAACAACCCCTCCCCCCCCCCCAAAAAAAAAAAAGTAAAAAAAATTATGTAAAAAACCCATAAAAACACTCTTTCTTCTTCCCCTATCCCCCCCCCCGCCGGCGAGCAAAGAATAAACTGTGGGAGAAGGACAAGAAACAGCCCGCCCACACTGAAAAAACCGCCGACACAGTTCACACAAAAAAGTGAAAGCCCGTGAGAAAGAAAATACACAACTAAACCAGGAGAAAGTAACTTAGCCAACAGACCTTCCCCTGGAGGTGTGCAGCAGCAGTGTGACAAAGGTGGAGATGCCCGGACACAGGCAGTTGTTGGCCAACAGGGCGTACTTGAACTCATCCTCACACACAACGTGGTCTGCGTCACACATGAGAAAAAAGCAAAAGAAATTCGTAAAATCTTCTCGATTAATAATAATAATAAATGACATTTATAAAACGCTCAACCCCGATTAAAGAACACAGGCTCTGTGGAGCGCTTTACAATACAAAACAACAATAACATAAAACATTGTGTACTGACCCAAAAAAAATTTCTTCAAATATTTGCCTTATTAATTTAAAAACAGAAATGACTTCAACTGACATTTGAATGAATCAAAGGATTTGATCTCTCTCAATACTTAGTAATCTTAATAATGAGGGAAACACCGTTTGCTCAGTTGGTATCAGGCTGGAATATGGACAAGATGGCCCTATTTCAAATCCACAATGAGGCATTATGAACTTGCTTTTAAATTAATGTTTTAAAGGCTCTCTACACATTTGCCTTGGTCCAATTGCAATAGCTACGTGACTTCTGAATCTAGAATCAGCCTTCATTATACTATAGTATTATTTATGAGGCACTGCGAAAAGACACTGAAGAATATCCAACCAGCTGATAACTGGCACGATCAGAAAGCAGACCCTTTCATGGATCCTGGAGAGGAGGAAGGAGCAGCTATGGCATTTTGCCGCCTGCAATGATGCCTATTTTCCAACCAAGTAAGTAAGGACACTGAGCCAAGTGAGCGGGAGCTTTGAAAACTCCCTAACCAACCCGAGTTCAAGAACAGCCCACTAGGGATTCAAGTTTAGTTCCTGTGTGCTATTGCCCAGCAAGGTACCAAGGGAGGAAACAGTGAGGGAGTTCAGATTACATTAAGAAATGCCATCAAGAACAACAAAAAATCTGTGCAAATCCAACGTCATGAACAAGGCTCTGGTTACTTTTAAATAATAAATAACTGTAAATCGACAGAGATTTTAATATTTATCACTTTAATGTCAATAAGAAGACACTGCATGCAACAATACAAAAAGACAAGTAATTTTTTTTTCTTTACTGTATTATGTGGAGTTTACATCCTTTTCAGCACTGTAAGTTAGTTTTAAAGACATTTCTAAAATTAGATTTTATATAATTTTTTTTTTAAAGTGCATTTTGTTAGTAAAATTAGAAAGGAAAGAAAATATTAGCAAGAAAAACAAATAAATAATATGACAAAATATTGCTGCACAATTAAGAGTTAATACTGAGTGGGAAAAGAGAAATCTAAACAAACCTGCAAATTTTACATGAAATTTGTTTTCAGGTTTGAAGAGCTGAACATAGAGAGGGCACTTTGGTGCAAAATCTCGAACAGCCCATGCCCTCATTATAGTGTGCTGATCCTGTGAATGAACAAAGCACAACATGCATATTAGGGCACGAAAATAAATATAAAACTCAATTTCTTTTGTTGTCTTTTTTTTGTTAAGTGTTTTACAGCACTCGCAACTGCATAAGGTCATGTGAGCGTGTGGGACACACTAAACATTTTCAGTTGGTACGAAAATTTGAATTTTTCCCAGGTGGCGGCCAAAGCCTGCTCTTTTTGATTTTGGACTACCAAGGGATCTTTAATATGCACAACTTCAGGAGCTCAGAGGAGGGGGGGCAAAGGAGGTGAGGTGGGAGGGGGCAGAAAGTGGAGACAAAAGCAGACGACAGAAAATACAGGGTTAGAGAGCAGGAAAGGAGGTGAAAGGAAACAGTTTTAGAGAAGAAATATTTCTGTCGTTATCCGTATTTGAACCCGAGACCAATTGAATGAAAGGTGAACACCTTAACCTCACGGCCACGAGAGCCCCCTGTGTCAAACTTTAAAAGAGTCTTATGACACTTGCAGCACAAACAGGTCATATCAGCGCTGTAGATTACTGGTGTTATTAGAGAGTGTAGCAAACAAAGAAATGATTGATGAAAGTTAGGACGACATTATTATACTTGCTAGGAAAGAAGGAACAAACTACATCTGAGTGACCGCTAGCCACCTATTACTGATGTTTGATGGGAAAATAGGAGCAAACCACACAAAGCACCCTCCAAACACCCGCACTTCATACTGTGACTATGAAAAAGAATTCATGGTAGAGCGGAGATGCCCTCTATAGAATACAACCAAAGCTGGTTTGAATCTTGCTTCCGGAGTTTTTAGGATTTTCAAACTCTGCCCTGTAATTTACTTAAGAATCTGATTTACCTTACAATATGGTACTAAATATTAAAATGGATCTAAAACTACAACTTTTGAGAAAATTTGAAAATATAATATATATATATTTATATAGAAACACGATGTCCTGCTAACTCACAATTATTATGGAGAACGTGACAGGTAGCTTATTGGTAAGAGAAGATCCATCTCTTCTACAGATAAATTCCTTTAGATGGGTTTTTTACTTCATTTATTTATCAAAGTTATGAGAATTGGAGATTAAACCAAATTATAACATAAAAACTGCAGTATTACATCAATATATGGCGATAGAAAAGAAAATTTTCAGTATGATAAAGCATCTGATTGTAAACTAGAGGAAGTGATGATGACAAAATACAAACCAAGGCCTCTTTATCAGCGTTGTTTCTGTCATTTCTTGAGGATAAAATAAAAGATGCTTCAGCGTCTTGCATCCTGAAACAAAAAACACCAACAAAAAAATATTAAAACTCCTCATAGTAAGTGTGTAAAAAGTAATACGCTGGTGCGAGAATAAAAAAAAATTAACTGCTTACTTTTTCAAGATAGAAAACAATTAATAAAGCTCAACATCACCTTTTTATAGAAAAAAAAAATTGGGGGAATTTTTTTTAAAGCATAACATTCACTACCATGTTGACATATTTCTTTACCAACTTACTAATATCCACTACCAAGGAGATCATCCTCATTGCCTTTCTCTCTCTGGATCAAGATATAGGCCACGAACAAACACTTTCCACATTTCCCTATCCTGGACTAGTCGCTTAATGTCCTTCCACATTTTTCCACTTTTCTGTACATCCTTTTCCATGACTCTTCTCCAGGTTCCACGTGGTCTTCCCATCTCTTGTGCCATTTGAGAACTCTTTCTTGCTTCATATGATATGGTGTGAACATTCAACGATGCAATTCGGAGAGACTTGTTCGACAGAGAAAGTTTCGAGTCAGAAGAGTCCTTTCGGCTTTGTCCGCTGTCCTTCATTGTTCCTGCTAATATAGAAACTCCTCCGTCTCCCAAGATGGAAAAATAATAAGGCATGTTTGTCTGTGTTTCTGTAACTGACTGTTTTTTACTATGTCGGGTTGTTGGCCATCCACAAACTGGCACTTTTCGGGTGACCAGACCTGTGCACCTTTAGTCGCCTCTTACGACACGCAATATAACGACAGGTGTATTCTTTGCTCCCCAACAGTAAAACTAATACCACCCTCCCTCCCCACCTGCAGGGACGTATAACCAAAGACATGGGAACAAAAAAAACAACAAAACAAAACAAAAATAAAACCATTCAGCTTCACCTGCATCTGGTGAGATCTGTGTCCTTGAGAGCCGAACCCTGCACGTAGATGACCCTCTGTGCCCACAGTGGCACCTGCAGTAACATCTTGAGGGTCGGGTCGACCTCGCACGGAGACAGCAACACCACGAAGTAGTCCTGAGAGGGAGCGGGGGGAGGGAAGAGATAGGAGAAAGGTGCTGCATGTTCACTGCTGTCATCACACTCAATCTAATGGCGACCTGTCCAAGACAATTGACCTGTACAAACTCACCCCCCACCCCCACCCCACCCCAGCACTTTTGAAAATAAATTATGAGGTGTGCTAAGAAATGAGTTACTTCTAATTCTCGCAATCCACAAATGGAGACATTGGCCCAAAAATAGACACTACGGTCTAATTTGTAGATTTTCTATTGATGCCATATTTCTAAAGTATAATATTAGGCCTATACATTTAAACAATAACGAACATGTAGTTTGAGGTGATCGTAGAACTAATTGAGGAAGTTAGAAACGTCAACTGATCAATCAAACAACAACATAGAAAGACAGAACAAAATGGTTTGGCCAGCTGTTACGTATGTCATCTGGCCAGCCAGCCTCGAGAGCCTACGACACCAAGCACTCAGGCTATAAAGGAAGAGGAAGGCCACGCAAAAGATGGATCGAGGATGTCAAGGAAACCCCTGAGAAAACATAATGTCACAACTGAAAGAGCTGCGGAGCTAGCCTACCATAGAAAACTGTATCTCCCCTCGACGTTTAATGGCAACAGAGGATGAAAAAGTTAAAAGGTAAAAGTAAGTAAGCAATCAACAGCATAACGAGCCTGTAGTTTTGGGTGAATGTAAAATTCGTCGAAGAAGTCGAGGACGTCAGTTGGTTAATCAAATAACAACAACAACAACAACAACAACAACATCAACAACAACAACAACAACAATGCCAATTGTACAGCGACGATCCCCAAGATTTGGAGCATTGGCTGCAGAGATGCCCCACCACGGAGGTCCGGCAGTGGCATCTTTTTGGAGGAGGATTCAGGGAGGTTGGACTGCCTCACCCTCTTCCCAAAAGAGGCGGTGGCCCTGGCAAAGAGCACGCTCTTCGGGGCTCCAAACATTTCGAATGGATAGGCTACCACACACACACACACACACACACACACACACACACACACACACACACACACACACACACACACACACACACACACACACACACAACAACAACAACAACAACAACAACAACAACAACAACAACAACAACAACAACAACAATGAACCTGTAGTTTGGGGTGAGGTAGAACTCATTGAGGAAGTCAGAAACGTCAATCGACCAATCAAACAACAATAACAACAACACATAACAACAACAACAACAACAACAACAACACCACCACCACCACCACCGCCAACAACAACAACGAACCTGTAGTTTGGGATGAGCGTAGAACTCGTTGAGGAAGTCGAGGACAGCGTCAGCCTGCAAGGTTGTCATACACACCACCACGTGTTTCTCCGTCTGGGCTCTGTGGCTGCTGTAGGAACCTCCCATCTTCTGTCTCTCCA